TCAGGAACTGCCGGAATGGAGTTCATTTAAAACTAAGAGATTGAAACGGTGCAAAGGGAACGGTACTAGAGGGCTTAGAAAATGAGGTAGGCCCTCAGGAACTGCCGGAATGGAGTTCACAAAATTACTGAGGAAAGACTCAAAGGGGCAAAAAGAACTGCCGGTATGGGGTTCAGGAAAGTAAAGGAAGGTGTGCCGAAAGGCTCCCTGGGGACTCTTGGCTCTCCGTGAGGGGAGGGGAGGCTGCCCCCGATATCTTATCGGGTAGCATAAGACCTTTGCTCCTGGAGGGATCGATGGAGTGTCCAGGTGGAGTTTTGACACACACCAAAGTTGAACGCTTGACAGTTGCGGGAGAAGCAACCCAGGGGGGTCCGCCAGTCGGCCGGGGTCCGGCGTGCGGGGTTGGGATGTGACTTGGCTTTCTTCCCTCTCTCGTGCGCCGGTTCTCCTGTGGGCGACGGACACCCCCCCCAGGCCACCTCGTGATGGCCTAGGAGGAGTCAGGGGCGGGATGGGGGTCATGCTGGAAGGTAATAGGTGGCCCGTTGCTTGAGTGGTGCCCTCCTCCATTGTACCTCCCGCAGCTAGAGGGATAGTACAGAAGGCTCAGAAGGGTAACTGATGCCAAGTCTCGAAGAGGTGGCCCCTTGGAGCAGGCCAGGGGGGGCCTCCAAATCGGGATGGGCCCGCATGTGTTCCTGTACTATGTGGGTTTTCTCCGGGCGCTCCGGTTTCCCCCCACAAATAACATGCACCACCAACCAGGTTCCTTGGTGGTGTGGGTCGGTGGAGGAAGGTTAAAAGTACTCGAAGAGGGTATGGGGGCAGTCGTGACCGTTCATACTACTACAGTAGTGCGCAGATGCAAACCGATGGAAGGGACACTATGGATGATGGTGAAGGGTTGCAACGGCGCGCCCAGTCAACGGGAGACACTAAAAGACCCGAAATGGAGTCCCCCGGCACCTACTTTGGTGGCTCTGTCGGGGATCCCTGAGTTGGTTAGATCGGTATCGGAGGGCAGCCAATTCAGGGCACCATCGGGAGGGCCCGGAGGGGTTCCTCCTGAGCAAGGGGGAACAATGAATACCCTTTGGGTCCACCCAATCTGAAACGTCGTCGTACACAGGTGGTGCGAGGGCGCTGCCTATGCCTCGAGTGTCAACGATGGCACTCAATGGTGGCGAGAGTCCGGCAGAACGAAGACTCTGGTAAAAGTTGGTTCCACATGAGAGGAGCCTGATAACTAAAATATCTGCCTCCCATTCTGTTTTTGTAATTTCTAGGAACCACAAGTAAACCTGCAGTCTGAGAGCGAATTGCTCTGTTAGGAAAATATGGAACAATAAGATCTGTAATATAAGATGTAGCTAGGTTGTTGAGAGCTTTGTAGGTTAGAAGTAAGATTTTGAATTATTTTCTGGATTTGACAGGGAGCCAATGGAGTCAGAGTCAGAGATTCTTTATTGTCCTTCGCACCTCATGTGGTACATGTGGTGGAGCGAAATTATGTACACAGGGTCCCAGTTACATCCAACAATAAAATGTATAAGAAAAACGGTAATAACATCTAAGATATGAACTAAGAAAACATCAACTAAATATACACTAACCACTAGTAGCATAAAAACATTACGTCAAACATCAGCACAAACATGAACATGAGTCTGTGTGAGCCAATGAGCACGCATGAACACATCAACATGAAACAGATCAGCAGCAACATTGAAACAGATCAGCAGCAACATTGAAACAGATCAGCAGCAACATGATGTGATTTTTTTCACAGTGATTATTCTGGTTAGAGATTCATGAGTCTAACAGCCTCAGGGTAGAAACTGTTCCTCAGTCTAGTGTTTCTACACTTAATGCTCCTCTTGAGAGAAGCTAAAACTGGAGACATGTGATCTCTCCCAGTAACTCCAGTTAAGACTCTGGCAGCAGCATTTTGGATCAACTGAAGATGTTTTAAAGAAGTATTTGGACACCCAGATAATAAACCATTGCAATAG